AGTGTTATGCGAGACAATACAGTACCTCTGCATGCAAATTTGTACTTGGAACTGTAGCTGTCATTAACTCACAGCTGCAGAATGTTAGTCTCCCAAAAGGGTGATGGTGGTGGGGGAGGAAATGTTGACATTATTGGAAAAAGCATGGTATTTATTTTTTGTAGGAGTTAAGTTTGTGGTGCCAAGATGAAAAATGCACCTTCACTTTAGTGAACTAGAACATTGCACTTGATTAACCGATCAGTTTAAGGTTTTATATCCTTAATTTTCTTTGCTTTTATAGGCTTGGATTTTTGCAAATAATAGGTAGTTACATTGCTCCTAGCTAACAATTTTAACTGTGGTGTGTTCTGTTTTAAGGCAGCTTTTATCCTTTGGCATTAGGAAGGATAATAGTTGTCTTTTTCTTCTTCCTCAGCTTTTTGTGCACACATGGGTTTCTAGGATAAATTAAAATGTAGCTGAAATGGACAGATAACTAAGTAGGAGTGAATTTGCTGACCCAGCCAATGCCTGCAGCAGCAGAGCTGTACCTTCTCCAGCGCTCACCAGACATGATGTGTAATTGTCTAGGGAACACGCATTAGCAATACACAAATCTTGTGGGGGGGAAAACCCCATCCTGAGCATTTTAGTCCATCCATTACTTGCTCAGTTTACTTCCATCTTTCTAACTGTTCTCATAGCTTATATCAAACTTGTCTTTTAAACCAGGAACGTGGCGAACAGATGCAGTCTTCACAGAGGAAAAGTTGGTGAAACTCCCAGGTGACATCCCTGTGCTCTGTGCTGCCACTCTGAGTGTCAACCCCTGCACAGCCTATCGGATGCTGTGTGATTTTGAGACCTTGGGGCCCGGTATGTGGTAAAGCTGTACCATGTATGCTATACTATGTCTCTCAATGTATGGCTGACTTTTATACTCCGAGAATATTAACCTTAAACAGCTTAGAAGAAATGAATCTATGCAGTTCACTGTATAGCTATGTACAGAATATACCAATAAAAGTCTGATTTCCCATGTATGGAAAATCTGACCGCTGAATATTTAAAGTAGGGGTGTGGGAGTTTGGACTCTGGATACTGTTTCTGGCCCTATCACTGTTGGTCATGTCTCTGTACCTGCTTTCCTAGCTGATAATTTGAGATGTTTGTAATGCCTACTGTGATGATAACCAGAAACCCTGGTTATAGATCAGGACCCTATACAGACACTGCATGAAGCACTTTAAGATCCTTGAATGAATGACTCTGACTACAAGGTCAGGTTGTTAAGATTATTGTCACATAACCTTAAGCACACAGCTCTGGAAATGGTGGCCTAAGGTGATCTGAGTTTCTGTACTTCATCACAGGTGAGTCTGTTATCCAGAATGCAGCCAACAGTGGTGTAGGACAGGCTGTCATCCAGATCGCAGGAGCCATGGGGATCAAAACAATCAATGTTATCAGAGACAGGTGTGTGTGTAATGGGTGCTGATTTATAGACCTTGTTAAAACTGGGTCATTTGTTTAACATTGTCCTAATCTGACAATTTCTTTACTTTTTCTGTATCCTGAATTGTTTAGTTGCCCTGTTTAAAAACCAAGTCCCCTTTCCTTCTATCCTGTTTTCTACTGTATCTTTTCTACTGTGACATTTCTTCTGATCACAAGAGGAAGCTGGACTTTCAGTGCTGTGTGATAGCTTAGTGAGGGTAGGTCCAGCTGGTTGATTTAAAGTGTCTGCTTATCCTTTTGCCTCAGAAGTTTAATTGTAATTGCTTTGGTACAAAGCTTCACTAGGGTACCCCCACACCTACTGAGACTAGACTGTGGAAAGAGGTGGGAAGGAAATGCTTCTTCCACGTTTGAGCAGGATCATCACCCTTGACCTGCACCTGCTTTTATCTCATCCTTGTTCTACCTGTTGCCTGTTTAGGCCAAGAACCTGTATTGTAAACCTTGTCAGTGCCTCCCGATGGTGGAAAGATAAAATTTTTGTGTGGATGGGCAGAGATCTCTGTTCAGGTAGCTGAATCCAACAGTGGCTGCCTTTCAAAATTGATCTCCCCCTTCCTCCCTGAATGCTGCTGCCTGTCAAACAGTTAGCAGATAGCATCAAATCTCTCCCTTTTTGAAGATGAGCTGTTAAAATGCAGGTGGAAACAGACTGTATCTTAATTCTGACACTGGCAGTTTCCAAGGGATTTTTAACTCTGAAAGACTAGCCAGTTCCCAGGGTCTGCTAGAGGTCCCCTGCACTAACCCTTGAAGTAGAATGGAAGCGAGAGACCGGATGGCAAGGAAAAGCTGTTGTCTGGTGTCTTTTGTATCTGCTCCCCTTCAAGGTCTGCTTGATATGTTTGCTCCTCTCACAGAGCTGCTTGTTCTGTCTGCTTCTCATCAGAAGGTAGGATCTATCACAGCTTAGTGCAGCAACAGCAGCTGATGCTGGTAGTGAGCAACTCCTGCTCTGTGACTGGTAACCAGCTCCTTGTCTGCTCAGTAGGAGCCCTGTTCTGTAGCACTGGGGAGCTGTGGGGGAGTATCCAGGAAATAGCATTTCTTGCTTAAGAGCAGCTTGAGCCATTGTCCGAGACCAATGCCATAAACTTTGCAGAAGAACATGGTTAGAAAGGGTGGCTGTTGACTGGAGAGAAGTGAAGGACTACACTGAGCATAAGGGACAGCATGAAATAAAACAAGGAACAGAATGAGGGTGGAGATATCAAGAACATTTCTCCAGGAGGCTGCTGGAGGCCAGAGGTGCAGGGAGGTTTGGGCAGAGTGGGAGATTTGGACAAAGTGAACAGTCTTGGCCAGGAATGCTGAGGGTTTGTATCAACCTCGTACTTGATACAGAAGGTGAGAGAACTTATTGAAGGGATGTTAGGAGAGGGCAGAAGCAACATGGTTCAAAACAGGTTGAGAGGAGAAGAAGAGAAAAAAATCCCTCAAGAGCTTGTACTACCAAACATGTTTGGGTCTTGTAGGGGGACACCTTGCCTTGATATGGACTGAGCCCTGTTTGCTCATCCCATGGTGGGAATTAGTCAGGGTTTTCAACCAGGGGTACGCATACCCCTGCGGGTACTTTGGAAGGCCCCAGGGGGTACATGGCAGCAGCGTGGAGAAAATGGTGGCACTTCTGGTTTTGCTGCCGCGCATACCCCCCCCCCCACCCTCACATCATACCCAG